ATGAACTGATGACACAACATTGATGTTTTCAAAATGTGACAAAAAACAACTGTGGAGGTGTGGATTTTATTTTCAGTGAATTTGTTTATTATGTTCATCTTTTTATAAAACTGTTCTTGACAATGTTTTTATTGAAGAGAACTGAAGTGCTTTTTTAAAATAAACAAAAGATCAATGTCATGATCTGTGTTAATTTTATTAACTAAGAAACATTTACATCTTTTGGTAAAATGTACTAATTGAAAGTCATGAAAAGCAAACAAATTTCTAAAAAAATTCAACCTGTTTTTACATTTTTCTTGCATTGTTTACTGTTCAATACAACTCTACAGTTTCAGAAAGTCATGAAAGTTTCTAAGAGGATTTATGACACATCAGCTTCACACAGTTTTAACTAACTATTATCTATGTCTGATCAGAGCACAGACTCTGGGAGTTTCCACCTGTCACTGACCAAAATATCATTTTTAGCAAATGATATTCAAAACCAGGCATCTTGACATTCAGAGAATCAGTGTACACAAGTATTTTATCTTAATAATGTACTTGAGGTTGAATCTAAAATCATGTTAAATATGCAGGAAATCTGAAAGTGACTGCATTTCTTATTGAACTGTAGATGCTATTTATTTTTCTTTTTTCTCTTTAAAGATTTATTCTGTGGCTGCACATTAAATAAAGATGATTTATTATGAAATGTATGAAATTAACTTTTAATAGGGATTGATTAGTTTTATTCTGAAATAATTGTCCTTTTCAATTGGAAGAACTGAATCATTTTAACCAAAGTCAAAGTTGAAACTCTCAGGCTATAAGCAGAAAATGATTTGTTTTTCAGTATTGATCTTTTTAAGGCTGAGTCACCCAGCAAGATTTTAAACATGTTGGCCAATTTTCAAAGGCTGATAGAGCCCACACATGAGGATAAAAAATCATGGATCTACCAGGTTTGGTCCTACAGTGTGTGGTGTACAGACACACGGGAAGAGACAACACACCACACACGAAAAGATATTTCATTCCTGAAAATTCAGATGTCAGATTTATATCACGAGAGAATTCAGATGTCCAAGGAAAAATCTCACCTGCCCTCCAGAGAGAAGTGAGTTCAGAATAAATAAACATTTTCAACAAGGAAGAAACAATGGGTCTCATGCAAGAACATGTTGGTATTCTTCTCCTAAATTTCTCTTACTTTTGTTCGTACAAAGGGTTCGTACGAACATGTCACGTCAGATTCAACAAACTCTTCTAT